CTTAACTACGTTTTATTCCTATTTATCACAGTTTGACCTAATATACAATACTCTACAAATTTATCTCTTCTGTCTTTATTTCTTATTACTTAACTTATCTTTATCGATTCTAATCTTCAGTCTTGTTACCATTTCAGATTTCCTTGCAGCGAAGACCGGAAAGTTATTAAAATATTTAGATATCGTTTAAACGACCCTTTGTGATACAAAGCTTAACAAGTATGCACCGCAATAAACAAGTTGGTCGGTTAAAGTGTTAATTGGGAGAATAAATAAACTGAAATTAACATACGGACTGGACAATAATTTAACGACTTACACTAACGCGGTTCATCGTTTGGAAATATGGTGTTGTAATAAATTGTATAGTTTGTTTACTATTTTGACTCTAAGTAGCTTTAGAAATTCGCTCATTTGATAAGGGAATAAATAGCAATGTTTCTGCATTATTATTATTATTTATTTATCGTTTAAATATATGGAGTCACTTGATGTCTTCATAAATTCATGATAAATTGATGACTTCATATTTAAAAGGATGATCCCAAGGGTTCTCGCGGAAGATCAGCGCTGGTACTTCAATAGGAACATCCAGCGTTTATAGCTGAGCGAGGACCCAATCCAGTCAGCATTGCAACGCTAATTTTAAATGTTTCTTTTTACTTTTTTTTCATTTCATTAGTTACGTTTCTCATTATCTTGTTTTTAATTACTTTTTTTTATTCATTATTGTAGTGTAGACAAGGATTAAATATTGTTTTATTTATTTAACTTAAAACTACTTTAATGTAATAAACGCTAAATAAACCTACGTGGAATTTTACTAGCGCTGTTTTGTTACGGTTCAAGTGATAACAGTAAGCAGGTTTAAAAAAATTATAAATAACATATTTTGATATTTAATCACACCAACATGATAAATGAAAAGTTTAGATGGATGTATGGATGATTGTTAGAGTTCGTAGTGTAAACTGCTTAACGTATCTCGATGAATTTAGGATAGATGTAGAGCATAGAACACATAGCCAACTTTTTTTTATTGCACACGAACGGAGTCGTGGGCGAGAGCCATTTTAAATTTACTAAAAGATAAATGTAGATGTACTTGTATTTTGTAATGAAAACTTACTCTTATTAAGGCAACATTGTTATTTTTACTTTTTACTAACTTGTAGAAAAACTAAAAGTGTACTAGTAAAGTTCAAGATATACAATTAGTAGAGTTGACGGCAGCTGTTGTATAAGTGGTTTTGACCCTGGTAGTACAACGACCTTAGAGCAGGACATAGGTACTATTATAGCTTAGGTTTTCTTCATCTATACTATTATACACTAATGTTATAAAGAGGACAGATCTGTATTTTTGTATTGTCTGGACCTGTGAGTAATATAGGCCATATTTTTTTATATTCATGCGGACAAAGTCGCGAGTAAGAGCTTCAATCAATCTTACGTATCTTACTAATATTATAAATGCGAAAGTTTAGATCTATGGATGATTGCTAGAGTTTGTAGCCTAAACAGCTAAACGGATTTCAATTAAATTTGGTATAGATGCAGAGGATAGTCTGGAAGAACACATAGGCTATTTACTTTTGTTTTTTTTTTACTTCCACGCGGACGGAGTCGCGTACGAAAGCAAGTAATATTATAAATGCGAATGTTTAGATAGAGGGATGATTGCTAGAGTTTGTAGCTTAAACGGCTGAACGGATTTTGATGAATTTTGGTACAGATGTAGAAAATAGTCTGGAAGAACACATAGGCTACTCACTTTTTTTTTTATTTCACTCGGACGAAGTCGCAAGCAAAAGCTAATCTTAAATATTTCTGTAACTCATTTGAATATTGTTGCCCTAAAGGTTACTGACGTTACATGGTGTAACGTAATATTACACGGCAATAATCTGTAACAACCTTAGTAATATTAACTGTGATGATGCACCGTTTATAAATAAAACTAAAATATATTATGTAAATAAGCGCATAAAGATATATCGAAACTAACTGTATGATGAATCGTTTATTGCTGGTCATTGTTAACACGAATAATGTTTCTCTTTCGTTTTGGCTTCATTTGTCTGGATGGATATTATTTTCAGGATGACTATTAAACAGTTTTCTTTTGTTTAGGAAATCAATAACCTTAGTTTCCAATTCAATTATTGATATGTTAACAAAAAATCTAGACTTAAATCATAAGTATAACTGCGTTATTTGATATATTAATGTGTTCGAAATTTTCTTATGAGAATTTTATAAAAGTTAATTATTGCTATTAGTGGTGATTTGACATCTAATAGGAATAAAGTCAATTTGTAAGTTATTGAAAAAATACTTTAAAAAATGTTAATTAAAGAAAGTTGAAACCGATTTATAATACAAAAGTGTGAACTTAAAATCGATTTAATTTTGATTCATGACAAAAAATACTAGCTTTAAAATTATCGAAGCGTTTCGTTTTCTATCGAATAACAATCGAATAAAAGCGTAACTTACCTTTTGTTGAAAAAAGTACGAAGATCATGCTGTTAAATCTAGTAACATTAGAAATGTGAAAGTTTAGATCGATGGATGTTTGTTAGAGTTTGTAGCCTAAACGGCTTCACGGATCTAAATGAAATTTGGCATAGATCTAGAGCATAGTCTGGAAGAACACATAGGCTACTTGCTTTTATTTTTTTTAATTCCACGCGGACGTATTCGCGGGCCAAAGCTAATGTAAAATAAAATTACGTAAGTTGAAAAATAACTAGTAACTCGTTTTGCTTTTTGATTTTAAATTCATGAAGGTCCTTTTTTTAATAACTTAACTTATACTTACAATGATTTTTTTTAGTTTATCTCATCGTTTTTATCTTTTATTATAACTTAAAGAACAATAAATGTATTGATAAAAATCTAATACGATTTTTAAACTATTTTTTTTTTAATAAAGTATGTGTTATAATTTGTTAATTGTCTATTTTTTGTTATAAGACTTTAAATACTTCAACATAACGTTGTTCTAAGGACGCGTCATTTTGGAGTTAAGTTGTAACTTAGTTGTCGCTTACGATTTGCGTCTTATAAGAAAGGTCGTGACAGAAAACACGATTCCGTCGATCTTTTAGTATCAAGTTCGGAAATGATCACGTCTTTACATTTTTTTTATTTATCTTAATGATTTTTTAAAACTTATAGTTATTTATAAGCTTATAAGAAAAAGTTTGTAAAGAAATTCTTTGTACCATTGTAAATAAATTACTTTTCTAGACTTTTCTTAAATATTTTAAATCTGGAAATTGTAGAGCAGAATGTTTTGAGCTGATGTTTAATTTTTTTTTGTATTCTGGAACAAAAGCTTGTTTTCAAATAAAAGAACACCCTTTAATTTACGCGCTATAAAACCTTTTCGGTCCATTGTTTCAATCGGAACATGTTACAACAAGTTCATAGTGAGCCAAACGGGTCTTGTTCTAATATTAGAGGGCAAATGGCGAGTGGCCCATTTTTGTTGTGATCGATGCGATTATTCTGATATTGGTTGATCCTGACGCTATTTTTTGTTTATGCATTGCATTTTCTGATTTGTTATACAATTTCCTAATAAATACTTAACAGATATTTTTATTTTATACCTTTCAGTTTTTTCTACAGTAACATTTAATTGAAATTTGGTTGAGTGAGCGATTGTCTATATCACGTAGATGTATTGGGTTTTTTTGTAAGATACTTAAGAAAAAATGCATTGTTTATTTGATAAAATAATAAATTTATTTCACAATGCTCCCATATAAATGATCGGGAAGTTAAACACAATCCAGTTTATTTGTCGATTACATGTTTCACTTATATGCAAGTAAATTAATATAAGGGAAAAAGTTTAGAGTACGCTTATACGGCAAAAATCACAAACATTTAAATGCAATATTTACATGTAAAAAAGTTAGATCTACTTTAAATTAATACTATCGGTTTATACAAATTAGGAAACAATTTTTTTTAAATCATCGATATTTTTTTACATTTTATCGATAACAGAACAAAAGCAAAAAAACAAATTACACATCCTTATTTACAGTTAAATGATTTTTTGATAGATGACAGATAACAAATGAAAAACGTTTGATCGTCCATAGAATAAAAATCTTAAGATTTTATACATTTAACTAATATTTGGCGTCTAAAAAAGAACTTTGAACTTAAACAAGAGAAATTATGACTATCGATATTTGGAACTAAATTAAAATTTGAGATCCATACTTAATTGTTCCATTATAAGGTTTAAATTAAATAAATGCTAATTATGAAGATAAATCTAATTCGAATAATTGTAATAAATTAAACTAAAGCGATAAAACAAAATAGGAGATCAAATGAAAATGTAACTAAATAATGAAACTTAACAACACTAAAATTGTCAATGCTAAACATCTAAGAATTTCATCAGTACTGTCCAGTTGGAAAAAAAAATACGGGATACTAAATTAACGGGAAAAACTTGGGAATTAAAAAAATGATTGTTACTACTCACATTGTTACATTTTTAAATAATGCATTAAAATTTTCGTACAATGAAATGTGAATGTGGCGTTTTGTCGAACTTCACTCAAATTTAAAATCAAAAAGCAATATACCGTTAAAGCGAACGCATTTGTTAGAATCGCATAAAACAAATCGATATGAAATGAATCGATTCGGCGAAACATTTCAAATCGATTTAACCACCATTTACAATTTAAGTGCAGTTTGACACAACATCCCATCCGGACAATGTTTCAAAATATACAAAACGGATGGACTTAAAAATATGTAACAATAGTCCAGGACCTGCTTAGCAGTATCGACGTTAACAATACTTATCTAAAAACGATCTTCTTTTTTTTATCTTATCGTGTTGAAGAGAGACGACGCGAGAGACACTTTTAGGATGGCCACAACCATAACCAGGTTCACGATGTAGGTCGAATTGCATCTTAAGTGGTAAGGTGGTATGATAGGCTCCCGCGGGCACTCACCTCGCCGATTCTCCTGGACTTCTTGGCCAGGCTGTCGTGCGACCAAGATGTGGCAAAGCACCTCGTACAGCTCGGCTAGGAGCCGGTTCAGTCGCGAGAAGTTCTCCTCTGTCGCCTCTCTCTCGCTCGGCAGATTGAATGCTATTGCCATCTTTGTCTCTCCAAACTTTTTCTAGGTAATAAACTGCGACTGATTGTCGTTTGTTTTGTATGCGTTAATTTTCTGATGACTTCGATCACCGCACTCGACTTTTGCGGTCTTCTTTGTTAGTCAAATTAGTTTTTTTTATTCGGTTTTAATAAAATACAAATTTCACAAAGTTATTGATCAAAATTTTCCAACAGCACTTTAAAAAGTTCTCTTCGAAAAATAGTCTGTAAAAATCTGAAGAAAAATTTTTTTTCCTCTTCTCTGACAATTCACTTTGACACAAAAATGGCACAAGTATCTAAGTTCTGACTCGTCACAGTTTCGTCGCGAACGATATCTTAATTTTTGATCGCCGAGAGTTCACAAGTTCACAAAAAGTTTCGGCGCAAAAAACTCCGAGGCGAGCATTGTCCGTGAATCACTCGCAGGCCAGCGATAAACGTACGGTCGATGACACAATCGCTAACGCAGTATGCATCGTAGCGGATTCGATGTAAACAAACGGAAACTTCGCACAACTCGAAAGCGGGTCGGCTCACTATCGTACGTGCGGCCGGCGCGGAAGCGAAACGTGTAATAAGGGATAATACTTCGTGCACATCATTGCCTCGCTCCGAGCCCTCTGGATGTGTGCGCGCAGTGCATAACGTGTGAACACTCGCACACACGCGCGCCCCATTTGATTATAAATAGTTGAACGCACGGTAGCACGTTCCCTTTGCACTCCACTACTACAATCAACGGCACACTGCCCCGTCTCCTTCCATCGCGTACTCGATCACATTATCTATCCTATTTTAAACAGGTTACATCATTATGAAAGGGAGCGTAGTAGAATATACTCTTTCCTCTTTTGACGCACGGTTTAAAAGCATTTAAAAAAGAGAAGAACAGACTGTGTGAACTCTTACTGTAGCATGAGAAAGCGCGGCAAAGTAAATTGGCCAATCGGGTGGCGAATTTAGTATGGGGTGAGGTGACGTAAGCACAGAGGAGCGGTTGCATGGGGTTGTTAAACGGAAAGCGTTCACTTGGTTCTGGACCTGCGAGGCAGCATTACTTAAGTATTTCGCGTAATACGACGACGTAACTCTTTGTTTGGATACGCGCACGTGAAACGTTTAGTCCTAACATCAGGCAGTTAAGTTAGTGAGGTTTTAGCATTAAAATCAGACGTTACTTCGTTCGAGGCGTGTGGTTTATTGCGGTGATTTGGTAATAGATTGCGTTCGCGTATAAAAAAGTATTTTACTGCGCGCGGTTTCGCTGTTAGCGTTTTGTGCAACTTAAGTGTGTTCTTTCGGTTTTATCGACGCTAAGAGCCGAGTGGAAAGCTTTGTTTAGACATTAAATACGAGTTGTAAAATAGTTTGGCAACATCGACCTAAAATAATTTTAACGATTGTCGGTTAATTTATGTAGTTATCGGTTTACTCTTAGATAAATATTTACGTTTGCCCAAATTTTAAGTTGGTTTAAGTCATTAGTCACAAGCGAAAATATGTTTCGGGGACAAGGTATGATAAAAAAATTCATGATTTTCAGGAAATATGAAAAACAAAATGTATGTTCGAATGCGTAAGTATACACGAAAAAAAAACCTAGACAGAAAATAAATTTGCACCTTCATTTTTGGGATTAAAATACTTTTTTAAATAACACAAATTTAGTATATGAAATGAAATTACTAGTTAATTACCACACAAAATAAATTCCAAAAAAATTCGGGTCCTAGAGCCGATTATATGGACAAAACATACTTCAATATTAAGTTATCAAAATATGTTTAATAAACTTCACATTTGATTAAATATCAGATCAAAATAAGAAAAACACAATTTCAGAATTTGATTAGCATGTAAAAGACTGACTAAGTTACATTTAAGTTACATGTCCACTTGAGAAAGTGATTACACAGGAGGATTTTATTTTAATCATTACGAACTACATTATTACAGTCTTAAGTTTCAATTAAGTTATTACACATTCATCTATTACTGTCTAAGGTAATAATGCACATCATTCCAATTTTGCTAGTCTATATTTCTTCTAGACAATTTACGTATAAGCCGCACTTACCTCTTTATAAAGTTTACAACAAGGAGGTTCTCGCATCGATATTGAACATCGTTCAAGTTCAAACCTGCCCGCGACGCTTAACTGGAAAGTAGGTCGCTTAAATAATGAGTAAGCAGAGTAAAAAACACGATTTATAACAATTATAAGACTCACGATTTTTTCATAGTAATACAGTATCATGAAATGAGGACATTTTAATCACTTATAAAAAAAAGAAAATAAATCGACTCTGAAACATAACCTTAGGACGTAAGCAATATTAAACTCAAGTGTTACTAGCCTTATAGGTCAGGAAAATGATGTTGAACAGATAAAATAAAATAACACATTAGTCTTAGTTCAACATTTTTTTATAACATGTTTTATTTACAAGTTATGTGTACTTATTGCCTTAGCCGTAATCCGATGTAATAACTTAACACAATATTTTTCACAAAGTCTTCTATTTTGAAATAATTCCATGTTATAATAATAATTTAAAAAAATGTTCGGAATAACTGTAATGGTAGTAACATTAAATTTTAACGTATAGTGTAATTCAAAATTAAATACAATATCCTGCCAACAGATGGCGTAACTAGTCGTAACTAGACCAATGTGATAAGTGAGTTGACAGATTTATTTTCACAAGATACATCCCTATTAAAAATTAACTTTCATTAAAATGCATTAGAACATTTACATTATTGGAAATAAAATAATACGGTTATATGATATTTGGCAGATTTTTCATTGTAAAAAATTTTTGAACACATTTGACAAAATTGTAATCGCGAAATAACATATACAATTCCTAGTAATCGCAGTAAACGATATCTATAACAAACGACTACAAAGCTACAGAAAAAATCATTTAAAATAAAACTGTACTTTGACCTCATCGCAAAGTCGGTTAATTTCGAAGCGATATCGTGGTGTGTTACAAAGGCTACCGGGCGATCGCATCGAGAAAAAAAGAAACAAAGTTACACCGCTGTCTTCAAACTTATAAAAAACGGCTCGGTATTGTAAGCCTGGTAGCCAACGCGATTTCACGTCCTTAGCCTTACTGATTGCCCTTTGTCAATTTCTTATAGCCGATGACATCCATTTATTTCAGAAAATTCATTTAATATTATGCATGGAAAGCGTAATGTTCTTCAATATCTTACTTAACGTGAATGCGAAAGATGTGTATGCATTTATTTATTTATTTACTTATACAAACAAACATACAATATCACAATTCAAATATAATTTTACAAATACATTTCTCCCATTTTTTTTTTCACTTTTAATTTTAAATTCGGTATTTGGTTCAATTACTCGTATATATCCTTGGCTCCTTTACTAGGTTGATTCTCAGTATTAAAGGAGCCAATGACTTTCCTTAATTTGTGTAATATTATAACAAAATTCACAAAAACAAAACAGATTCAGTAATTCACCATTATTTAATAATAATAATAAAATTTGAAATTTATGTTTTTTTTGTAAGTTATTAGTTAGGTAAGTATGTAGGTGTAGGTGTGTGCATGTGCTAGAATGTGTGTTTGCCACCTAAAGACTGTACGGATCTCGATGAAATTTGGCATAGATTGAAAAGGACAGTCTGGAGAAACACATAGGCTATCTGTTTTTGTTTTTTTTTTTGTGTAATTCCACGTGAACGAAGTCGCGTTCGAAACCTAGCTAATAATTAATAATGGTAGTGCCCGCTTTAACAACTTAGCACGAATAGGCCGACACGCGCGGTGTAATATCACGACCACACAGAAGACAGGCGTGAAATGGAAGAAATTCTGTGTTTCGTCTGATGAGTGTGGTGCCGAAGGCCTAATTTAAGTCCCTTTTTCTTTACCACCCTTTTCTTATAGGGAGAGGATGGGAAGGGGAAGTGGATTTGACGGTGGAGGAGATGCATAGAAAGGGGAAATATCCTCTTTATGTGCGTCTCCTCCTCCGGATAAGGGTGGACAACGCATCTACAATTGCGGATGTCTATGGGCAGCGGTCGCTTCGCCATTTTGGTGGATTCAGGCGGCCGCTTGCTCGTTTGCCACCTTATGTCATAAAAAAAAGTTAGTTAAAGTTTTAAGAAATATTTCTTTTCTTAATAGAGTTGTATTTACAATTGTAGACATCGTATATACATCTCAGGCAATTTATTCTTTGATTACTAAAGGGACAATGAATTGAGAATAAATTGAATAGTTTTTTGCATACAAATACATTTAGGCAATAAAGCTGTGTTGATATCATCAGTGTCTTGTGTTGAATACAAATCGTGTGTAAGTGTTTACTTTGTCAGACATTTTGTATAGACAAGTCGTTGGATTTTTAAATGACGAAAGGTTTCAATTTATAGATTACTAGCTGTTGCCCGCGACTTCGTCCGCGTGGAGTTTAAAAAGTACATTTACATTCTCCCCTTATTTCAACCTATCACCTAAAATGTTAACTTAGTAATAATCTACGTAAAACTTAAAGATTGTCATGTCAATCTTATATAACAAAATATAGTGTGTTTTGGAGTTTCGAGTTTGCAAATGTACTTATAATGTACTTAATATACTTATCCCGCGACTTAGTCCGTTTACTTTCGTATTTGTATTACATAAAGCACTTGATAATTACGAATTATAATGTTTTGTTAATTTCACATACGTCAGAATGTAAATGGATTTAAGCCAACTCCGAGTTGTCAATTTAACAACGCAGATGCGTACACTAGACAAATTTATGGCTTCCATCCATTATCATAATATTATCATACAATATTCATGTTGATTTCAGTAAAACGGAATGCGAAATATGTTGAAAGCAAATTTTAATGATACGACACTACGAGCATAATTAACGTTTCGATACGAAAAATCAGCCAACTGACTTCAAAAGTTATGAATATTGTATTTTCCCTCTCGACTGTCCATATGGAATTAAAAAAACATCAGTAAGTAGCCTATGTGTTCTTCCAGACTGTCCTCTACATCTATACCAAATTTCATTAAGATCCGTTTAATAGTTTAGGCTGCAAACTCTAACAAACCATCCATCTAAACTCTCGCATTTATAATATTAGTAAGATAAGATGAGAGAAATGTCATATAGAACGACATGTTATCCCACCCAGTGGACATATAAGTTAAGCTAAAATATGATAGCTCACTAGCGCTCCCCATTAAAAAATTACAAAAGATAATTTTGGTACTGTAGCTTACAATCTTCGCTCATTTATATATATACTAATGTTATAAAGAAAGATTTGTATTTGTGGATTTTTGTATATAAGGAAATAACTCAAAAACTACTGGACCGATTTCAAAAATTCTTATACCATTAAAAAGCTATATAAACAGTGAGTAACATGGGATATATCCTTTATTATTTTTTAATTTCAAACGGACACAGTCGTTAGCAACAGCTAGTAAGTAAATAAATCGATAAAGATAAATTATTCGGTATACAATAAATTTTAAAGTTATAACCAGGTATAAAATAGCCTCATATTTTAATGGGTATCAATTTCGACCATAAAATCATTTCCAACACAATAAAATGAATTTACATATTAAACTTGCGAAAGTTGAACCTT